GGAGATTCTCCCCTGCTTCCATTAGGAGTGATGAGGTCTGAAGAGATACTCACAAGTGTTAGTTTAGAGAAGAACCAAGTCTCACAAGAGTAACACAAGTTTTCTACCTGTCAGCCTCTATCATACCAACATAGCTTCCTGCTGACATAGATCAGGAATCAGCTCTGAGAACCCAAAACTAGTGGATTGCTCTTATGACACAAATATTTCCCCTCCCCTATGTGTATACTACTCTAATTCTATCTATATTAAATGTTTTTGCCTTCTGGATATCTGACTTCCACTGGGATTAATATGTAATTTAAGAAGTTCATTAGAAAATAATTCCCCAGCCTTCAACAAATGCGATACAAGATAATGCACCAAAACAACATACTTCCAAAGTATGACATAACCAAATGCTCATTTAAGCTATCAGAGTCTGAAATGCAACCAAAACATTTCTTTGGCACTTCATATGTTTTAAAAGAACTTTGCCCCACTTAGCCTAAGAAACAGTAACAGCTAAAACAAGAATTTAACGTTATTGTTGTACCCAAATTAATCAACACCAACAGCTCTACAAAACATCGTTTGTAATTCAGAGGAGAGAAAAGAGCATTTTGGTTTCAAAGCACACTCCCTATATATTTTAATAGGTCATATATGGCTTCAAGGGTTGTAGTTCATCTTTTTGGACAGGGATCGAAGTCAGTGAGTTTCAACAATATTTAGCTGAGGGTGGGGGAAAGAGGAAAAAAACGAATCAGTTCCAGCATATTTCATTCCTGACTTGCAAGAATATTAACAGATGTTATTTAAGATTGCAGTTCTGAAATTGGACTTCATGTAAGGAGTATTTGTTTGTTACAGACGTTGTACAGACCTCATTGATTGAGTGTTCTACAAAATGCTTTTTCAATTGCAGATGCTTAAAATTCAAGCCACCTATAGTCTACTCTTTTTTCTGTGGTAGCTAGTTAGAAAAGCAGTTCAGTTAAGTCTTAAAACTGAAAATGACCTGGGAAATGGTCTTTAATGAACACTTCTGTCAGCTTTAGTTACTTCAACTTACAGATTTCATCTGCTTGGAAGAGATCTTGTTTTACCACAAGAATCTACTGCCCGCTACAAAAACAGCATGTGTTTATTCAGCACAGTCAGTGAAAGGTGTGTTCTGCAGAAATCCCTTGGTGAAATCAGTTTGCAGTCAGCCTTTAAATTAAATCTTATTAGACACCTAAGACAGCCTCCCTTAATTTAAAACTACAGAATGAAGTCAACTAAACATTACTACAAATTTACCTCAAAGCTTCTGACTGCACAAATGCCATAAGAGGAAAGAACTCCTCTTACGTTGCCAGTTTATGATTACAAGGAGGGAGAATGTAACACCTCTTTATCAAGTTGGTTTACATCTCACAACAAACTTCTACTTACAAATGCTTACAATACTATCAGTAATTCTGGGGCTGAATGTTCTAAGCAGTGTAAATGATTATGTTTTTGCGCTTTGTCTCTCACTTTTCTGCAGCAGTTTCCCAAAGAGGTTGTAGCAGCATCCCTCAAGCGTATTGCACTAGACATTGAGAAGCACTGTCCCAGAAGGACAGAGCTTTCACCATTCCTGCAGGGCCACTTCAAATATAACCAAACAGACCTTGAAAATGTTTAAACTGTTAAAGGCTGAAACAGTTTGCAAAAATGTTTCCAAAGTGTCTTTGCAAGCAACACCACTGAAGTAGCTGAATGGTCAGCAGATGAACACTTCAATAACCTGTTTTCCTATTTCTGGATATAGATCCTAAGAGACAGCTATAAGGAAGTATTTCACACAGTAGTACTGCTTAGTTAAATAAAAACCTCACTTCTCATGATGTGGCTCACTTGTTTCATTGCACAACCTCAGATCTCTCAGAATTCTGTAAGACTCCTGAGAAAGTGCATTTGTTGCAAGGCAAAATACAACATCATAGACACAGCTGCCATTTGTTTTGACTACTCTAATGGGTCAGGTGATTCAGCAGCGATAACACATCCCAGACCAGACAATGAGGACTTCATACTGCACTCATTTATTGCCCTTGAACAGCTTCTAACTCTCACATTCAGGTTAGGAGCCCACAGACCACGTGCTGCTTTTACTTGCCATTCGAGATCTCTGCAGTCAAGACATTTCTTGTTGCTGCAAGGAACTGACAAGCTTTCTTGGTAAGTATGGAAGAATGTTTCTGTCTTGTCCACAGTGAGCTGTGGTAAGCAGTAAGAAAACAATCCGTACTTCTGTGGCTCAGAAACCACCTCCATTGCAAAGGCAACACAATAAAGCAGTTAAGCTTTAAACCATAACACAAAGACAGTAAAAAAAAAAACAACTGAAAGACATCCAACATCCACATTTGGTTGAACGGACAAACCTAGAACTCTCCAGGGTAAAACATAAGTCCTGGAAATCGCAGCTGAGATACTTGTATGTGCTCACTACACCATAGCCTTCCAAGCAGTGCCCTTCACCACCAAGGCAAGCACTGCTCTGGAAGGGATTTCCAAAAGTTACAATAGAAGATTTGATTCTCTGCACTATTCTGAAGAGCAGTTTAGAGGATAACAGAAACCTCAGCAGCTGTGTGAACACTGAAGGGAGCCCCCTCTTTTCTGCAGAAGGAAGGGACCTTATGATTCCTCCCCTCTGCAGCACATTCCATCTTCAGAACTGCAATTTAGGTAGACTTCTGCACACATTTTGAACAAGGAGCAGCAATACGCCTGCATCTGATTCTGATATCGTAAGTAACAGCAGAAAACCATCCTCCCAGGAATCGTAATTTGCAGCTGGGAAGCTTAAAACAGAAAGCAAGTTCGGTTCTTCTGTCCCATATCAGGCTCAGGTCAGTATAAACTCCTTGGGAAAGAAACGTCAGAAATAATACTCTGCAAATCTACTCCAGTGTTTCTGGAGATGAAAAACTGATCAAATGAGAAAACTAGGACTCCGCAGTCAACCTTGCAAGATGGATGCAGATTCATCACAACTGTAGCTGCAAAGCAATTTGTTTGTTTGTTTGGCCACATGCATAAATCTTACCACATTAATTTTAGAGCAGCGCATCGGTGCGCATTTGCTTTTCTTATGAGAAGTATAGGCTCAGGGGACACTGTGTCATTACTGAGAATTCCTACCACAGGAAAGCAGGTCACAAAACCCTCTAACTACAGCTGGTCACAGCAAAGCACTAAGCTCCCCTTCTTCCTAAAAAATATTTACTTTGATAAATTATTAAGTCAAGCCAAAAACTTACTCTGAACCAAAAAGTTACACAGAGTTTCTCATGTATGAAGAGGAAACCATCTGTAACAGAAGAAAACCTAAAAAATCCCCTAAAAATGTGGAGAACAATGTTCTAAAGATAGACTGGCAGGTAGTAAGACAGTACGTTAAAAATGCCTGACAAATAGACCAGAGTGTAAATAACTCTCTGCATAGAAGTAGGTTTTAGAAAACCATAATGGCACAGGACAGAGTATCACGAGATTTGGAAAAAATCTAAAAGCAGGCTGGCTTGAGACTCTGTAATTGGCAAGGAAACAATTTGAGCCTGGCTTCATATCTAATAAATCACAGCATATAAGGTAAAAAGCTTCTAGAAAGCTAGAAATTCCACTTCAGAACAATATGCAGATCATATATAAGCATACAGATGAATGGGCAAAGTACAAAATGCTATTTTTAATTACATTACATTCTGTTCGGCGTTTGTGGGCCCTTTTAATTGCTCTGTTAACAAACTGGATAGTGTGTGACATGCACTATGCTGTCAATTCTCACACACACACTACAGACAAAACAGGCTTATGCTGAGTATTTCAAGGTTCCATTATAGACATGAACCATTACCAATATTCTGGGAGAGATGTAAAATGGAAATGAAAAATGAGGACAGAATGACAAATTCTATAGGACTGCTTTTTATAACTACTACTACTTCTGCAGAGCAAAGTGTTTCTTCCTATTCGAGTCCAGAGCATGAATTTAATGCAACTATGATGCACTTTAGAAGTATTCTAGATACAAACAAAATTGATGGCAACATGGCTCACATCAAGCAATGAAGCAGATGATGCAATATCATGATGAATATACTGATCACAGCATAAAGAATGTTGTTTTGTAAAAGATGATATTAAAAAGTAGCATCAATCAAAGAGATTACATTTTAGTGAAACACAGCTATCAGCTTAAATTTAGGTGCAAGAGCACCTGAAACCCACAGGGGTATAATTTTTTTTTTTCTGGAGAAGGAAAAAAATGAGTAAACATCTCCTGAATTTTGTATAACCACTGACACCTTACGGTACCAAAGAAAAGCTACATTATAACAACACAATCACCATGAACAACATAAAACACTGAGACACTGAGTGACACTAGATCAGCTTGGAAGCCAAAACAAATACTAAGCATTTATGTAGCTTTCACAGGTACAAAGGAATATCAGTTACTGAATTATCCCGTAAGTGAGTCAGTAGTAAATATCCAGTTACACTTGTCATCTTAATATAACTGAATGCAACAATAGCTGCAGATTTTAGCATGTTCCAAACCTTAGAACCTGCATTTATTTATCAGAGGCTGCTGATTTAAAGCTTCTCATAAATTCAAGCCCAGCATTACTGTAACATTCAAATATTTAGCTCTTCAAGAGTGCTAGCAAGCATAACAGTTTAAGCACTTCTCCAGAAGTCAGCGTACCTATACAACATATGGGAAAATCATTTACTAGAAAACTGAGCCTGTATGTAGAACTTGAAGTGTTTGTGAGGTTTAATAGCAACTTTCTTCCTGAAGCTGGTGAAGCTTTTTCTTGCCAAATACAGAATACACAAAACCAACTGGTGGTTCTCTATTCTTTACTGAAGTACTGTAGTAGTTTCACACACGTTTAAACGACACTGTTCAGTTTGTGTAATCACTGCAGAAAGGTTTTTCATTAGTGTTTCCCATTTGAAACACTTCAGCTTACCTAAATAGGGAATACATGGAGTCATCTTCAAGCTGCTGATGTAATCCCTAAGCCTTTTGTAATTATCTTCTTTACTCATAACATACTCCAGCTTTTCAAAAGTGGCTTTGTCCTTCCGACTCAGTAACTACAAAGAAAAAAAAAAAGGCAGAATCAGTTGAGATGAAGTTGGATTGTTATGACTGCTCAAACTTTTACCCTTAAATGCATGCTTTTTATTTTAATTCTTTTGTTTCCCTCTCTCCCCCTTTTTTGGTTACTCATTTTGAAGTATGATTGCTTAAAATTACAGCATTTACTCCTTATGGATAAATACTTCAAGGACAAATATAGAAAAGTGCTATTTCAGTGGTCAAATTTAGATAAGCCTTCTAAAGAAATAATCAAACGTAAACCTTGGTGTGCTGGTGATCCTTCTGAAATAATAAGTTTTCCAATGACTAATCTAGCTAAAATACAACATTCCACACGCTTGTCCACTTTTGCAGTATTTCAAAGTCACAGTTTATTCACTGTATTGATCTTTAAAGTTAAGGTTTGCTTGTCAGAAGTACCAAGTTTTATATTAATCCAGTTTCAGAAAAACCCAAATTCCAAAATGTTTTTATTCTTGAATTGAAAACTGTTTTAACAAATTACGTCTTTTGAAGAGCAAAATCATATCCTTAAAACCTGATAAATATCCTTAACCAAACTACAAATAATAAAATGAATGCAGCTATAGGCATCCACATACTTGATGCGCTGGAAGAGTGTAAAGATTTGATCCATTTTTCTCTATAGAAAGCAAACAGAAGACTTGATTACAGGCTGTATTTATTGTCCCACAGGCTAGCAACTTCACTGGATCTTATCAGTATTACAGTGACCTCCACTCAAAATACCAGACAAAGTCATTGAGTCTCCTCCAATGCTCTCCCCCATGCCAACACATTCCTTTGACAGTATTAACTGAACACTGAGCTCTCTTTGCAAAACTGAGGAATAAACAATGTCTTTTTGAAACATCTAACTGCACTACTGTTGCAAAGCCACATTAAAGGCTTCATTTCAGCTTGGAGCCAAAATTCAGAGGAAGGTGCAAGATGTTTGCATTTGGCAGAAGGCTTGGTTTCCCAGCCTCCCAATCACTTTTTCCCCCTCACAAGATCCTTAATAGCACAAGAATTACAAGGTGCAGAACACTTAATTCTTTCATTCCCTTTTCTTTTTCAAATGAAGGTCAACTCATGTGACACAACGGAATTGAAATAAACCTTCAAGTTCTAATTTCTCTACTGAAATAACTGCTTTTTCTACCTACGTTGCCTACATCTTAATCTTCATTAGTGAGATTAACAGCGTCTTTCAGAATAAAATCACTTTTAAAGAGGAATTTATTTTCCAAGACACGTTGGTCTTTTACATTCCAGCAATTAACTTACATTGTTAGCTTTGCTTCCAATATTCTAATGAGCAGTAACTCATGTCTGCCGTTTCAATGAGGATGTGCCAATTGCAGGACAAAAAGAAAAAAACAACAGCAAAAGCAACAGTAAGGAGTCACGACTTCCTCCCAGCCACTGGGACATTACATTTATCTTTTTAACTTTATCTCCTCAAAGATGGCTTTGTTTTTATCAGCCTAGATGTGCTTGCTTTCAATAATATTAAAAAAATAGGTATTTTGTCTGCATATCATGCTTGGAAGTCTTTCTGTCTTTCGTGGACTGGAAGGTATGGCAAGTGGAAATTCAAGCTTGAATTAAATTACTGCACCTTCCTCAAAACAAACACACAGAGCTGCACCGTCTCAAAGTCTGATATATCATTGCAGGCTCTCTGAACAATCTCCAACAATAAGTAAAGCCCATAAGAGATTCCCTTGTGCTTATGGTGCAATACACATCAGGTCTCCAGTTTGTGCATTACCCAAGTGCAGAGAACCCAACAACACAAAAAGCGTAAAGGATGAAGTAGGAAAGAAATCAGGAATCCAAATGGTTTAATCATGGCAGCAGCTAACAAATTTATACTAATACAGAAACAGTATGTATTAATTTTGAATCATGCACACAAATCCATTTCTCATCACTGCTAAGTAAAGCGGGTGAAGCACCACAATGACAAAACCAGAAAAGTTTGCCTCAAGAACATTCTGAAGTCTTAGCTTCATTAAGGTTTTCCTGGAGAGATTTGAAGAAATTCATCTTACTGAACTGCGCGTTTGCAAAACGTGCACTGAATTGTAGATGAGTATTTTAGCAGGAGTGCTTTAAATTAATTTTTGGTAATCATTTGGAGCAACACTATAATTGAGATTTTCCTACCTTGGGTGAAGAAGGAGGCAGAATGACAGAAACACATTTTGTAATACGCAATATGTAAGGTATGTCTACAGAGAAAGTTTAGTTTGTTTCCCTGTTTTAGTGGTTTATCTGTACAGATCCCCTGCAGAGAAGCATTTCAGCCATCTGATCACTTTCACTGCACTTGAAAATGCATCTGTTTGTACAACTGGGTAACTACCCAATGGATAGCTGGATCAAACAAGGTTTACTCAACTCAGAGGTATCAATGAGCAGAAGTTGCTACAAATGTCTAACTGATGAAGATGCAACCACATGAAAATACTATTAATTCTAGTTAGAAAACATGCCAAAAAAACATTTCCAAAGAATGCCTCTTACATAACTGTACAGAAGACCACCTAAGAAATACAATGGCTACAGCAGCTGCAGTAACTATGAAAACCATCCGGAAAACTGATGAAGATTGCTGGATTCAGCTATCAGTAAGAGAAACTACAAATCTTTTTATGGAAACTGCATCATTAATTTCTGGACGTCTGTTCTCCATAGCAAAAAAATTCCATCAGTATAAACCCCTAAATGATTAAAATATGGCCCACTTTGGCATTCTTAATTTTCCAGCAACTAAATACAAAATAGCTTCAAGCCAAATTAAAAGCCTCTGCATTTAGCAGAATCTGCAGGGAACTATTTTTCAAAGGAATTTCTATGCCTTTCCAGGCATAGGCCTAGAATGGAAAAAAAAAATAAAAAATCCAACAGGAAACCATAGACTTCAGATGCAGTAGAAACATTAAGTATGTAGTACAAGAAGATTAGAAGTATCTGTAATAATTATTGCAAGCTTGAAAATAAGCTAGAGAATGCTGTATTTTTCTCAGAATGCATTAAAATCCCTCCCATGTCCCACTGCTCACTTACCGCCCATGTTTTAGTCAGTCTGAAGATAGGAGCACTCTGTAGGCCTGACACAACTGCCATAAGAGCGTGCAGATTGTTCAGCTCATACAGTTTCTGAGAACAAAAATATACAATAAATGACCAACATTCCAATTACTGTCCACAGCTAATACAGAATAAGCTGCAATCTAAACTGAAGATACCTCACATGTTTTAAAATGAACATTTAATTACAGCGAATTGCTGACCACTCAAATAACTTCCACAGCACTTTCTAATTTTCCAGTACTGCTTCTATACAGTCTTGGATTAGAAGATACTGGCCGTTGCATAGCCCAGATATAGCCCTGCCAAAAATATATGTTCCAAAATGTATACTATACATCAGAAATGCCAGAAATTTTCAAACCCAACACATTCCTATTCATAGTATTCGAGAGAATTTTCAAACTGAAGATGCCAAAAAGGACAGCCCACGTGAATGATGTAATCACGGCAGCATTCAATGCTGTAAGTGCATTTTTCACCACAGATTTATGGAGCCAGTCAGGCTGCAACAGAACACCTACAGAATTTGAAGCAGGATGAAGTCAAGCAGGGTAAACGTACCTGGAGTACTTCTCTGACTGAAAGGCAGTTTGGGGAGTATGAAAACTGAAACTGATTCGTAATGCAAGAATACGAGCAACCTTTATAAACGTTGTGAACTAAGTCTTTTTCCTCCTTCAAACTCAGCTTACCTAATTTTTCTTGAGTGGGAGGTCACTTGTGAGATGAGGCTTTGTTAGAAAAGACTGGCTTAACCAGATTCAGAGTATAAGAGACCACATTTTTTAGGGAGGCTGAAAGTGATCCTATGGGGTGGTTTTCCAGCTTGTGGCTTTGAAACTCAGGAAATGATTCTCTCTCTGCTTAACACTGGGCCAGAGAACGGACAGCCAAGTCCTCATAGGTATTACTCAGGAATCCCACATTTAATACATATTACCAGGTCACTCTAGTAGCAGTTTGAGTCTGGATGTCCAGAACTCCATGGTTCTAGCAAGTCTACTGGACTAGAAAGCAGGGACTTTCCACACCTACTGAAAAACCACTTATCTCACCTAATCCATTCTTTGATGGATTCTTCAGCATTTTGTATAAAGGGCAATCAGTGTTTTGTTGGGTGAGGTGGGGAAACAGCAGCTGGTTACCAATGCCATTCCTCAGGGCTTGCATCTGGGGCCTTGCTTTGTTTATCAGTGATCTAGATCAGGGAATCACATGCAGTTTCAGTTAAGCTGACAGTAGTATAGCCTTGACAGGCTTGGGGAGGAATGGCAGTAAAGTTTCCTGGTAGGAAAAGTTCTGGGGGTGCTGGTCAACAGCCAGCTAAACATGAGCCAGCAGCGCGTCCAGGTAGCCAAGCAGGTCAGCTGCATCCTGGTTTGTATCAGAAGAAGCAGTCCAGTAGGTCCAGAATCTCAAGTTTTGATGAGACTGTACCTCAAACACTGCAATCAGACAGTGAGTTCCTTGAGCATGTGTAGACAAGAACAATAATGTTGGTGAAGGGACTGGAAAAGACAACACATCAGGAACAGCTAAGGAAATTGGGGCTACTTAGTCTGGAGAAGAGGAGGCTGAGAGGAGATCTCTTTCTCTACAACTACCTGACAGGAGGCTGCAACGAAGAAGGGTTGGTCCCTTTTCTCAGGTGGCAAGCAATAGAGCATGAAGAAATGGCCTGATGCCGTGCCAAGGAGATTTAGCTGGACATTAGGAGAGGGTGGCCAAGCACTGGAACAGGATCCCCAGGACAGATGCGTGGACATGGCAATAAAGGACACAGGTCAGTGGCGGGATTTGGTGGATCAGGCAGATGGTTGCACTCTGTGATTTTGAAGCTCTTCTCCAACCCAGATGATTCCATATACCTAACTCCTACTAAATAGCATTACTTGTCTTTGTCCAACCACTCATGCGGTCACTCTTTTTTTTCCCCCCACTGGCTCCCAAATAAGGTAATCTGCTGTCCTGAAGAAGGATGCAGAACAACAACATGGCTGATTAAAATGAAACAAGAATCTTCTAGCTGCTGCCAGCACTGAAACAGATGTCATAACCAATCAGGATAGCCTGGGAACTTCAGGAGAATGCAATCATTAAGTCCAATTAGTTTGTGCATCTATAGAATGAGATACCCTTAAAGGACAGGCAGCTATACAACAGACAGACAGTAGTCAGCACAAAAAAGTTCTGCCTAGTGGATTTATAGCTTCTCTGAAAAGTTAATTAATGGGATCTCTGGCACCACGCTGCTTTGATAAAGTTGGTGTAAACAGAAAATGGCAATAATTGCAGCAACTTTATATTAGAAGCCATATGTAAGCAGTCAAGACAAAACAGTAAGTAAATTAACAGACATAAAAGCACCCCCAAATATTTACTGTCTTTTTTTAGATTCTAATTTTACAACTCACAGCTAAGTTGCTCAACTGACTTCAGATATTCAAGCACAGAATTCTGTCTCAGAAACAGCAGCATTTCTGCAAACACTGCTTCCTGTAGATGCCATCAGACACATCCAGTGTGCTGTGGCCAAAGCAGAGCCTATCAGGCCTGGTCCCGCTTTGTTTCCAAGAACAGTTCTGCACTACGTTCACCACTGGAAAGTTCCCATCTCTACACATAATGTTTGGGTTTATTCAACATTAGAAAACATTTGGTAAATTATTTAAGTAACAATATTTCAAGTAAGTTACCATTGTGCTTCCTCAGTTTAGCCTTTTTTGATGGCTTTTTTCTTTTTTTTCTTTTTTGGCAGACAAAGGCTTCTATTTCAGGACTTTGGTCTGTGATATTTCTGACAACTTTGTTACACACACAAGCCAAACATCTAATCATGGCAGGAGATAAAACCACAGCTAAACTGGGTATCAGATAAATATTTACCTATGTGTATTTCTGAACTGACCAACCTAATTACAAGATCCTTCACTATGGTGAATCCCACAGTCCCCACCATCACCCCTCAATTTCTTACCTTTGCAGTTTTAATATAGTGGCTCAAAACCTCAGCTCTTATTTTTAAGGTTTGTGCATGAAGAATCTCTCTGACTACCCAGAAGCTTACCTGGAAAAGAAAACAGGCCTTTTGAAACAGAGCATCAATGTTACACGTTTAGTTCTGTCATTTCACTGGCAATACATCTCACAGTGTTCAAGTTCCTTCTACAACATATGAATAAACTTAGAGAATTCAGAAAGTTACACTACCCTATGCCTACCAATAACACAGACTTTAATAAAAGACCTGATTTTTTCTTTTCCACAACTACAAAACTGCACTACCCAACTCACAGATACCTTACAGTTCACTGACAATGGCAAATTCTCAACACTACTGAAGAAACAGACTCAGATTGGAGACTCTGCACACTAGAACTTACAGGAAGAATCCTATGCTGCAACCTGGAGTTTATTATTCCTAATCTTACTGATGGCTAAGTCAATTCCCAGCTAATACAGAGCATATTATTAGTTTCCTTTGTTAAGTTCTACAGTGTTGGCTTACAAAAGTTGTCATTATGTTCAGTATAGCACAAAGGATGCTAGTTGCTTTTATTCACAAACCCTCACCTGCCTCACAAAAGCTACAATTTGAAAACATTTTGATAACATTTCCAACTTTTTCTCTCCCCACATCCTCCACCCTCTTATGCTTCAGCACAGAGAGGAATGATAGAAAATACATTTCTTCAGATATGCAGTAAAACAGTTGGAAAGAATTAGCAAAAGGTAGTAAACACCACAGCTTTTATTCAGGCACCCAATACAGGTTAGGAGAAAATTCACAAATTAGCAAGATACAGCATAACTGCTACTTACAAAACTACAGAAGAAATGTATGCTCTCTTATGCAAGGAGCTGCCAATCTGTCATGCTGCTGATTTTTAAAATTAATATTAAACCACTACTTGTAAACTAACATTGTGTTCATGCCCAAGTTCCTGCCAAAATTTCAATTTAAAAGAATAACAATAAAAATCCTATCTATCCTGTTTAACTCTGTACAGTATGCCAAGTCTTTACACATAAAAGCACTGAAAAATGAAAAGAATAGCACAAAAAATAAAAAAATAAAGCTACTTTTGAGAACTGAGGTGTCCTAACACGAAGTCTGGAACAAGAAACAGAAGAACTACCAAAAAAAAAATCAAAAGTCTAAGACCCTACAAACATCCTACATCATTGCTTCCCTTTGGTCTGTTTATTCAGGGTCATATCAGCCAGGAAAGGAAGAAGTTGTAGAGCTCAAGTTTTCTTTTTGCCTTAAAAAAAGAAAATAACAACAGCAATATAAAAAAAACGCACAGAAGTGTCTCCTGAGAGATTGTTACCCTGATGAAAGTAAAATGTGGCTCTGTGCAAACAGCATTACTACAAAATATCTAAGTTCTCCTGAAGTATTCAACAGCACTTCAAAGTATTGTCAAAATAATTTAGACCTCAATGTGATGTGCTGCTGTAGTTACACACTTGAGTAAAACTACACCCTTAAATGATCAAGAAGTTTCTTCAGAGATGCTTTCCCTTTGAAGAACAAAGAAATCTCAAGTTTTAACATTGGTTTTTGCATCGCAAAGAATCCCATAGAGACAATGCACTCTAACTTATGAGCCTTTGGTCAGAAAAACAGAGTTTGGATGAAATAAGAGATCGTTTGCAGTAGGCCAGATTAAGAAACTCATGCTCAAAGCATGGAACAATGCTTCAGTATGTTCATGAGAATAGAAAAACAAAGCACTTGGCACGTTGGCCTAAACGTCTATGGAAGTTCATCAGTCTCACAGTGACACAGACCCCGTACCACACAAGTACTCCTGTTTATTCAATGAAATCTGGTTTCTGTCCCAGTCCCAGCCAGACTGGGGTCTCAATGCTTCCAAGAACTTACAAAGAAAGCAAACAAAACCAACTCCAAACCTCCTCCTCAGCTTTCGGCTGTCCAATGCCTTCAGTGAGAGTCAGCAGCGGGAAGAACTAAACTCCTGACCACTTCCACTCCAACCACCTCCTTTCCTCCTTCATGCACTTTCATTGGTACTGCTATTGGTTCCGTCTGGTCTATTCTATAGCGCCTTTAGAAAGGCACCTCATTTTTCCAAATATTGAAAAATAAACAATTTAAACAAAACCTTTTGTTTCAAATCAGCCACACAGAATCACACTGATATTTTATTCAGGTTCTTTCTTCACATTAGTAAAGGACAGTTCCATAAATACTGTGGCTATTTGCTGTAAAATCCTCTCACTGTATTCACATCTTATTTCCCCCACACTGTCCACCCACCCAACAGTTAGATTCCTAGCAGTTTTTGGGTAACCATCTCTTTGATATCAGCTCAAGACAGCATTTAAACCCTTACTTATATTTGCGTATTAACATTCTTCCCTGTTACCACCATCATATAAAAACAGAATCTTCTTCTGAATGCATTTTTCCTCAAATCACAACAGCTCAAGCATTTTAAACCATCCTTTGCTTGCCATATCTGGAATACCAGCCTACCTACACTGGCTCTTTTAAGCTCAGTAGGGAACAAAGGTTCAGTAAGTAGGTAAACTTGACAATTTTGTACACGGACACATTTTCACCAATTACAACAGTTGTATATTTTGATACAACTAACTTTCAGAAAGAAAGCTTCAATAGGCAGGGATCACAGCTTTAAAAGAATTATGTAGAGAAGTTGCATTCTTTTTTTTTTTTTTTTTTTTTTAAAGGAACTTAATAGCAGATGTGCAGATCTATGCAGTACTGCATCACAACACATGCCTTAAGAATAAAAGGATCCTGGCATGGAATGATTCACTGACTTCTCTTCCGTGAACTCGAACTGTTTTTACAGGCACCACATATAATTATCACATAACTAATGCTGGAAATACACTACTTCATTCTCAGTAGACTGCAATCAACTGCACATAATTGTTACTGTTTCCAAAATGCTATCAGCAGATCAATTTGCTGTGAAGCAGCTGTTACTGATTTAATGTTCTTTTTACTTACAATGTGAGAGCTGTTCAAGGCTCTCTTTTGGCAAGTTGGGGGAAAAAGAAAAAGACAGATGCACGATGCATATTTAAGCTCGGTGAAATTTAAAGGTGGGCAAAAATTTGATGAAATGGATTTGTGGTCAGTAAAGCCAAGAGTTAGGATGATATTACTTAATGTATTTTAGCTGTAAACATTTGTACCCCACAAGAAGTAGGGCAGGTGCCCAACAGCAACTGCTTTCAGCTGAACAAGAACAGAGAAGGTAGACCAGGCAAGGAAGACAAAAACTTGCTCCATTGTGTCTTCTTATTCCAGCTGCTACTGCCTATGCTGTTTGAATTCTTGGCTTTCCACTGCTCTCCAAAAGATGGCAAATCTAAATATAAACAGTACTATTGAAATGAATGACTCCTCCACAATGACACATTCTGAACCACACCACATCAAAAGTTATCCCAAGTACTGTCTCCAGTAAGCCAAAAACTGAGGTACTAACATGAAGAATTTCAATCTGCAACTGAAACAACACTTGCAGCCTTTTGATCTCCTCTCCAGTCCCAGCACATGAAGGTAAGACTGATGACTTTTCCTTGGTGCCTGAATAAAGACTGATGTAAACTTCCTGCACATAGTATGTCCCTTGGCCACCAAAGCTGCATGCTGCACTTTCTCAAAACATTGGCTGGAGGAAAACTAATCCACCTCACAAGCAGTCGCTAAGTACTTGGACTTGTTTCTTCTATTATCAACTCTCTGACCCTTCAAAGTAGTTTCTCCAACTGGCTGATAAGAGTCACCTATCAATAATTTTTCAAATGACATGTTAAAGAGAAACAAGAAAAAAAAAAGAAACGAGAAAGAAGGCCTAGAAATGTCCCCAAATCTTCTGGCTTCAAATGTAGTCACAGAGACAGACCAAGAACTGGAACATTTGAATGCAACAGTGCTGACAATGTGAAAAACAGACAGAAAAGCTACTTTCCTTGATCCAGCTGATTTACTGGTGAATGGCAAGGGCTTCAAGTACTTACCACCTACCTGATTAAAGAGAGACCCTGGAAGATTAGCTCAGCAGCAGAGCCCCAGACTGGCCTGTCCCAAATCTATTATTATCCACAAAACTCAAAGACATGGCAAAGATGCTCATATATATATAAGATATATAATATAAATATATATATAAGATACATATATAAATAAGAGTGCTGTGTGTATGTATGTATATATATATACATACATACATATATATATATATATACACACATACATACACACATATATACATATACACATACATATATATATATACATACATACACACAGCACTCTTATTTTAGGGATTCCCCAAAGACAACTTCAGATTAATGACAATGTATTTCTTTTGGATGTTAAAAACATCAATAACAGGCATCTGACTGATAGAATCTTTGGAAGCAGTCGATGCAGTCAAAACCCAAAAGGGAAGTGAAAGTTAGGGACAAATCACAGAATCATAGAATGGCCTGGATTGAAAAGGATCACAACAATCATCTGGTTCCAACCCCCTGCTATGTGCAGGGTCACCAACCAGCAGACCAGGCTGCCCAGAGCCACATCCAGCCTGGCCTTGTATGCCTGCAGAGACAGAGCATCCACAACCTCCTCGGGCAACCTGTTCCAGTGCCTCACCACCCTCTGTGATTATAACAAAAACTTTCAGATGATTAACTCTGCTGGAGGCCACAGAAAAGAAAACCTTCAAACACTAAGAAGGCTCTCAAAAACTGTTAGTGAAGACATCTTCACCTGACAGAATTGCACATCTGACTTCTATGACTGTACAGAAAGCACTTACATAGGGTCAAGCTTACCTATAAACCTAAAGCTTCTGATTAGAAAATTTGCAGCTCTATTTGCACACAGCATAAAAAATGTCTACACGAAGGATATCTGAAGAAACCCACAGGCAGCCTCTCCTTGCATCAACCTGTCTGTATGCTTATTGCTTTTCTGATGACTGCTCCCTTCCACGAGACAGAGTTCATAAGCAAATCTCAGCCCCTTCCTGACTGCATCATTACTGGTGAGGCCTTCAGATGCCAAACCAAAGGGGCAAAAAGGGAAGGCAGAGAAACAGCACAACAGACTCTGCAAATAGCAGCTCAAAGCTCGTCAGACTGCTGCATTTTATTCAAGGTTCTCCTCCACCACGTGGAAAAAATTTGAAGAACAGGAACAGACCTTTCAATCTACTGAAGCACCGAACAAACGCAGACACTACAGAACTTTGAGAGTCACCTAGTTTTAATATTTCTTCTTGATCTGTCTTTCAATCAGAAGTTCACTGAAACCAATGACGTGCAGTCGAAAAAGACAACAGATGAAAGTGCCAGTCACAATCAACAATTATCTAACAGGCACCATGGAATAATGAAAATACAAAGTTCCCTTCAGCAGTTAGCAAGGCTTTCTAGAGAAACGGGACTGTGAACTGTTATGAAGAAAGGTGTTGCAGAAAAAGGCAATTATTTCTGGTACTGTACTCTCTGTATTGCATGCACATTGACATTTCTGTATGAATCTTTATAAAAATTCAGATAGAACAAAGTACTGCACATCAAAAGTCGATAAACCGAGCAAAAAAATTTGGTAAGCACTCTGCAGAAGAAAAAAAACATTGCAATAACCTTTGAAAAAAAAAACAGCTAAAATCTAAATTGATAACAGAACCAAAAGCGTAAGAATGAATGGGAGACAAGATAACATTACAGCAATAAATGAATGGAATTTTGCTAGATGAAATTTCTGTGTGTTATTCTAAGAATACTGCATTTAGACGTTTTCTAAACATTATTTAGATACTACTAAGACGTTAATTCCATTGTTAAGATCTTTAACAACTATTTCTAAGTCACAGGTATCTTCTGCTGGCTCTGGACAACTCTACAAGGCACACCTCCCCTCCCTCTGTCCTTAACATCTTTGACTGGTTAGACACTTTTAAACTGTGGCTCTGTAATGACAGACAGTTTGCAGACAGTTAATTGCTTATTCTCATGACCTGGCTTACCCTCCTCACTTCTTTCTAAGAAGTATATTATACCAATTCTTTAATATGTTTCAAGTTAAGCCTGAGGAACCTAGCTCTGCTCAGCCTGACTGAGAGGGGATGTGATTAAGGTACACCTAAAAGAACACGGGAGCAAATGGAAGAGGTCAGACTCTTTTCAGTAGTGTGTAGTGACAGAACAAGGAACAATAGCCTAAAAGTTCAACACAGGAAGTTCCATACTGATATGGGAAAGAAATTCTTTATGGTAAGGGTGACGGACCGCTGGAACAGAATGCCCAGAGAGGTTGTAGAGTCTCCTTCCACAGAGATATTCAGGACCCAGCTGGACACTGACCTGTGGGACCTGTTGCAGCATACCTGCTTTAGCAGGGAGGTTGGACTCAATGATCTGCTGAGGTTCCTTTCAACCCTTGCAATTCTGTAAAGTTGACTGTTTAGCCAATTTCTGCAGTTCCTTGTTATGTTATACCAAGACAAAATTGTAAGTAAGGTAGTTGAAGAACACTAATGTGGCCCTTACTACAAAAGCATTTTGGAATATTGAGCAAAACAGTATGCTTCTTCAAAGAGACAACTAATATGAATTGAGAGCACAATGTTGGAATCTGGTTTATCGGTGTAGAACTAGTCTCACACTGGATATATACTAACTTCTAAGGCTAGACCAGGAAAATTTCACCCAAATACTGGGTGGGGAGGGAACAGATTTGAGAAGATGATGTTACAGTCACAAGAATTTCAAGACATAACATCATTTCTTCAGTCAAGAGGTGAATCAGGCAACTTCTCCAAGCCCACTCCCAGACATGTACTTTAATCATTAGATGGCTAAGCAATATTCTAAGTGTAGATATGTGATAAAGCTTGGTCAAATCCTGAACGTAAGCAATAATGGAAAGTGTGAAAGCATACAACAGAAGACTGAAAAAGTCAGAGGCTCAGTCTGAGTTTGAGATGATTAACAAAGATGTCCAAGATTCTGGGCACAGAAAATAAATAGGTCTGGAAAAGAGCTTTTATATTGGAGACATTATTAAACATTTACAAGAGGAGAGAAGAGGGTAAGAGAATTACTTCATCTGAGAGAAAAAAATAAGTATTAAATAAAAAGGCATTACAGTTTTGAGATGAGGTTGGCTAACTACATAGCTGCAGTTCTGCAGCTTTAACAAGAGGAGAAGGCTAAAACTGAAATCTTGTTTTATACAAATAAATTTTTAAGAAAGCCACAAGTCTCAAATGCATAACTGAAAAATTATGCAAAATAGAGAACTAAAAAATAAGAGTTAGACAATTGATGTTTTCTTAAGTTTGCTCAGAATCACCTTAAAAAGATAATCATACTGACAAAAAGCTCTTATTTCTAGGGACAAACATCTAATGAAGCAAAAGACATATAATTAACAGAAGGAAATACCTAATTATGACTCCAGAAATCCTACATAGTAAGCTTTTGATGTGAAATGATTATTCCCATCTTTATGAAAAGGGCAACCAGTATGTCTGGGAAAAATGCTTAATATTTTCCTCATTTTATTCATTAGTAGCTGCTATTAAAAAAAAATCCAAACCCAACACAGCTATTTGTTTAGCACGTGAGCCGTGGTCTTTCTGTACTAGCTGAAGATAATGAACTCTCTTCAGCAATTATTTGCAATTTTCAAATAACCAGCTGTGATCAACAGCAAGTGATGTGCCAGAACACTTAATTCACCAGATGTTTTAAACATATACATGTAATTACAATGAATTTAAAAAAAAAAAAAAAAATAGCAACTCACATGATTGAATCTTCTGGTGAAAGCAACTGCGTTTGGAGCAGAACTATACTTCTCTTTTTTATTCCAACCACAGCTTGCCAGCTCCTGCAAGAACAAAGATGAGAATTCACTTTTTGCATCTGTGAGTGTTCAGAGCCATAACCAGAGAGGGAAGCATCGCAAAAGTTTCAAAATAACAGAGCGATAACAAGTTGAGATAATAAATACAAGAGTGGCACTTTTCTTCTGCAAACTGAAATTCTGTAAGCATTGCTTCCAAATGGTTTTGAATTATTAGATTTCATCTTCTGTTGAATTAGACTTTTTTTTTTAAATTCATTTAAATTTAAATTAAATTTAAATATTATTAAAAGCCAAGGAAATAATTCAAGATCCATTTAGCTAGCACACAAAAATACTGTTGTAAGCACGAATCTGAACTAGGGGGAGGAGTGTGTCTTTTGTCTTCAATTACTTTCTGAAGATATTTAAATTTAGATTATAAAACTCATTACATCAACCAAGACACGTCCTGTTATTTTCACTTGGCATGCTGCGTTACAGAAATACCAAATTGGTCACCTTCTGCAGCAACAATAAAAGAAGATCTACTTCCAGTTTTCCATTCCAAATGAGCCAATTTGATGTGAAGCTGAACAGTCAGCATGTAAGAAAGATTTATGGAATAAAATGGTGCAAGAGTGTTTGCTTAAAAAGAAAAAAAATTAAAGCTACTTCATTGCTGTACTTGAGCTGCAACGCTTCCTGTCTGTGCAACTTACACAGCAGTTGGGCAATGACACCATATTCACTGTTATTTACTACCTTTTAATTTCAATACAGCATTTTTATCTGGGAGCCGTAAAAATCTAAATTTACTATTGAGCTCTTCTATTCATACACAGTAGCACACAGAACAGACCCAAATACATTCAGCATACAACCTACTCAGCAGTGCCAGTTGAAACCACCAGGAACACCATCCAGTACAGAGACAGCTGAATTATCAAAGGAGCATAATAGCAAAGCACAGCCTTTAGTTTTCATTTATTTATGCTTTCTCTTCACGTCTTTCACTCCAAAGTGCTCTCAGTTTTATTACTGTATTGATAACCCCTTACTGAAACCAGTGTTACACCATACATGTCAATTATATCAGTTAAGATAAAAAAAAAATCAACATATAATTAATAATTGTGCTGTTTAATGCGCGTTAAAATAATCTAGCATCTGAATATTCTAAGCTCTAACCTCAGAACAGCATGTTATCCCACAGAGTTCTGAATTTTGTTTTTAATTAAAACTTAACGTCTTTTCAGCCAACATCCCAAAGCTACTGAAGAGTCTCATGCCAGTTAAGAGAGATCTTCAGTTCTTCCACTTATTTAAGTCTGGCACGCTGGTCTGCACTTGCTAGAGAAGGCTGATGCTCCCTCCTACCCACAGGCACTAAGAAGAATGCATTCTCCAACTCAGCATTCTAGAGCCATTCCTTCAAATGTCACTATGAAGTGCCAGTATCAGCACCTACCCAAGAAAATGCTATCCTGTTCAACATAAAAACATGTGTGCCCACCTCCTCACACCAGCTCATCAGTGACTATGCAAAAGACAACCGCGCAACTGTGAGCTGCTCCTATTGCAAAGAACAGGCTAAGAGGTGAGGAACCATCCAAGAGATCTTGGCTTGCATTCTCTGTCCCTCAGCACCCCCAGTGTTGCAGTTTCCATTATAACAACAACAACATCACAGCTTTGCACATGGGGAGAATACAGGTTGATTCATCCTCACTGGCACCTGATGATTACACTTCCTTAATAGCAGGAAAAGAAATCTAGTTGCTTTCTCAGGTTTAGACAAAGCACGGCAATTTGTTAATAATTCAGGGCACACCTTTCTATGATTTCAATTCCTTGTTACCAAACAGAAAAGCTGTGATGGTTAAAGATACAAGTGACCCATTGCTCTGGTACTGTACGTGTAAGGGTTGCACGCAAGAGTTTTGCCTCAGAAGCAGACCTGGTTTAGTTGGCTTTGGGGTTTTAATGACATTGATGTGATTAACAATAGTAGTGGTATTTTTTAAGCCAAATCCATTACCAAGAATCTTTAGACAGTATGTAGAAGTATAAAGATTAGGGCCCAATTTATACTTATATCCTAATATCTGATGAGCACAGGTGCAACATCTCACTCAGACTGAAACGTACACAGAATTATTTGAAAAAAAGAGGTCTCCCTGTATTTTCAATTTTAATTGCATACAGCTTCTTCTGACCTGAGAGCTAACCTTTACGCCCCTTCCTTTTCCATTGAGAACTAACACAACTTAGCAGCATGTGAGACACAAGGCAACTGGCCTCCTTCTACCTGTGAAGGAACACTGATGGACACATGTTATTTACATGCTGTCAGTGCCTTCAGCTTCTTTATGCACATGTGAGAAGTACTAAAGTAGCTACAGATATTTTTCACTGAAGGCATCATGTGGCTTTTTCTTATGTAGCACAGATTTCTTAAAATGAATTTATTTCTAGATATATTCATCTACTCTCACAACATTTTCTTTTAAGAAGTTAGTTTAATTTCTTATGCTTCTCCCTTTTGTGGTATACACTAATGAGGTAGAACAGCCAACAAAATTAGATGTGTTTTCTTCACATTTCTTTTCATCTCCCAGTGATTTTCAGTAAGTTTGCTCATACAACATAAACGATGATACTGGAGAGGCAATGTTAAAAGAGCAGCAAGTTACAAGGTATGGAGTGCTGGCTTGATGCCACTATATCCAAATAATTTGATTCCTTGTACTCGTTATGCAGCTGACTGCTCATTCTGTACAGTGCTGCAAGCAGACTGAGAAGAGCAAACTACTGTCAAGCTCAAGCAGTGTAATTTCTACATTAGCAGAGCATTAGGACAGGATGACACGACACGACCTACATACAGCAGTAATGCTTAGCTTTAGAAGTACATGCATACAGGAAGTACTTCAAATAATCAGATAAAAAGGTAATAGACTTTAAAGATTTCAAAAAAGAGCTGAAAAAAAAAGATATCCCACTAGAAGGACCAGGGTAAACATACCCTGTCAATCAAGAAGACTAAGGATGTCCCAAAAAGAGATCAAATGGGATGCTCTTTGAAGGATTTAGGAGAAAAGAGAAAAAAAAAGAGAGGGAAAGCTTGCTGAAATCATGAAAGCGAAATCATTAAAACATTTTCAAGTACAGATCAAAAAGAAGCCTTTGAAAAAATCTGAGAGTAGATAAATGATGAAATCAGCAACCACAGCTAAGATATTTTCAGCAAATGCATTTAGTGGAAGCCAAACATTCTTCATTGACCCATACACAGCCAGTAAAATAGACTGTGGCGCTCTAAAGGTGACTGATGAGCTGGAAGACTTCCACACTACTGACCACATGGATAATAAAATGAGAAATAAAAATTAAGCTTGAAAAGTGTGAAGCAACGTCCATAGGAAAATGCTAATTGTACCCAAAAAAAAAAAAAAAAGGATGAACAAATTTAAAATTCACAGTTGCTACAAAAATTCTGAAAACATCAGATCAAGCCAGGCTGCAGTCAGGAAGGAATATGGAGTCATTTAAAAACAAAACAGAGAACAAATCATCCATATATTATCCCAATACATCCACAGATCTTGCATCTTGAATACAAGATGTGGTTACTCTCATTTTTCTTGTTACAGAAAAGATATGAATCAGTCAGAGAAACACAGGTCTCAATGGGATACAGTCTGAATTCATTTCCTCTCCTATGTAAGAAAGAAACTAAATAGAGCTGCTTTTTCAAATGAGGTCAGAAAAGATACAACAGAAACGCAATGAAAAGGTGCGTGGGACAGAAAAAGCAAATAGAACATCTACTATTGAACAGGAGAGCACAAGTTACATAGAGAGTGACATGAGCAGCACAAATAAAGGCAGCATTTTCATATTACATACCAGAAATAACAGTAAAATATGAAGATCTACATATGATTGAGTTCAAAGAGTTTGATTAGCCACAAGTCAAGGAAGAAATGCCCACTGTGGGCTGTTAAGCACGGTACATGGGTGCAACTTGCAGCTCTAAGTTTCCAGTTTATGAAGTTCATGAAGGATTTATCCATGTTTAAATACACTATTTCTCATACTGTCTCTCAGTCTCTACTGCTGGCCACTTGGTGAGGCTAGGAGAACTGCTGACAGTCAGTCTGACGTTTGACTTTTTCCTGAGACAAAAGACACATTTCATTTCAACTCCATAATTTTTAGACATGCAAACAAAAGAAGCTGCCTAATTACCAGCTAAATTAAACTACACTTAGGACTGAAAGCATAAGTGAAGCAAATGTTACATGTAAAAGCATCCCTAGCCCTGATACACACTGTACAAAGATGCTAAAAATGTTACATAAAATACTGAACAAAGCTGATCAACTCCAGATGCACTCACTGTTCTGTGAGGTTGAGACAGCATTCCTGAATCTTGTTATTGTATAACTGGGCCACGTGTGCATGTGCTCTGGGAAGCATAAAGAGCAAAAGCACAGAAAAGCTGCCATATTCATTAAAATAATATAATGGACAAATTGTGGTATTCAAGCTTAGGGGTTGCTATCTGGTTTTGGCTTTGATTCAATAGACACTGAGGCACTGGAGTGTGTCCAGAGAAGGGCAACGGGGCTGGTGAGGGGTCTGGAGCACAGGTCTTATGAGGATTAGCTGAGGGAGCAGGGATTGTTCAGCGTGGAGAAAAGGAGCTCAGGGGAGACCTCATCACTGTCTACAACTGCCTGAAGGGAGGTTGTGGCGAGGTGTGTCAGCCTCTGCTCCCATGTAACTAGTGATAGGCCAAAAGGGAATAACCTCAAGTTTGCCAGGGGAGACTGAGGCTGGCATTAGGAAATACTTCTCTGAGAGAGTGGTCAGGCATTGGAACAGGCTGCCCAGGGGAGTGGTGAAGTCATCTGCCCCTGCAGGTATTCAAGAGCTGTTTAGATGTTGTACTGAGGGACGTGGTTTAGTAGGAAATATTGGTGAGAGGTAGAGGGTTGGACTGGACGATTTTGGACAACTTTTCCTATCTGGGTGATTTTATGATTCTTCCTATCATATCTTTAATATATACTGAGATACACAACCAATTTTAAGGCAACAAGGCAAGCACTGTAGCTTATTTATTAAATACTTTGGAAAAAATAAAAATAAAAAATGTCAACTCAGACTATCAAACCACTTTTTTGAACACATCATCTGCAATCCATCCTATTAACTTAGCTTTTCATTTGGATCTATTAGTAGTTGGAACCTGGAATGTTCTGATCAGAATAGCCAAAGTAAGATGTTTATCAAACAGACACTGAAAACCAGCTTCACTTCCAGCACTGGTTGAGCACGTTTAAATTTCCACTCCTCAAACAATTAGTTCCAGTTATCTGTGTTAAATAACATCTGCTTCAGATCTATACAAACTGTAAAAAGATGACATTTACTGAACACACTTATGCTTTGCAATTCCCGAACGTATGCACGGGCATAACCCTTCTCATTTAAAATTGAAAAGCAAACCAATGAACAACTCACCTCTGGCTGAATTGCTTTAAATACGGGGACATCCATTAGTGTTATCTGACCCTGAAATAAGAAATTACAAGTTAATTTCAAAATTAACTTAGCAACTAATTGAATTGCTACACTGCAGGAAGACAAGTACAGTTGTTCTGTTCCCTTTTCTTTTGTGATTACATTTTCATCTAGTAGCAAGCCTCAGAGGTTTTGGCTCTCACCACACAGCCATCCTGCAAAACTAAAGCACTCTGAACTTTACATTTAATAAGATAAACAAATCATGACAAATTATTCTCAGGAGCATAATCCTACAGTTATGTATTCAAGTCAGAGCTTGAATTTAAGAAGTCTTCTATAAGGATTTACCCAAGAATACAAGGGTCTCACTTCAGTTACTCAAGCACAATTTCTCTTCAAACTCTAATTTACACAGTTCTATTAAAAAAACACATAAAGCCTGCAGTTGATATTTGGACCATATCTGAACCACATGAATAACCAAGCTAAGCAATTGTTCAGTTACAAAGCAACAGTTACAATTAAACACAGCTATCTCACCTTCACTGTGTCAAAATCACTAAGCACATTTTTATTGTGAGATTTCTGTTTCGCTTTGAAAGGGGAAAATTAGGACTAGCAAAAATAGCCAAAGACCACATTTGGCTTTCTCAAATGTATACAGAGCTTCACGTGAAGCTTTCACTTCAGGACTGTTGCCTGCTTTCAAATTCAAAGGAATAGATCACCTCTTCCCTGGCATCCAGACAGCACAGAAATTCCACTGCCATCCAAGTCAATTGCAAATACCCCTTTAACAATGAATCCAGAGGCTTCGTTCAGTTGTCCTTGCAGAAGAATTTAACTAGTGTGCTCTGGTTGAAAGAGAGCAAGTGCAAAGAGATGCACCTGCTCTAACAAAATGAGAATGCTTTCTCCTGAAACAATCACATTTACAGATTGCAGATCTCCTTCTCTTTTTAGATCTAAACTCAGACAACCAAACATAACCATAAAAAATTATCAATTTAACTGAGTCCATACTATAAACAATATGCTCTCTCAAACGTGTCTGAACACCTTTGTAAAAGTGAACACTCTGAGCTTCTACATACGCTAGACATTCTTGGTCCTGTAACACAAACACACATCTGGAATGAAGCACTAAATATATCTCCCATTTATTAATATTCACTAACTATTTAAAAAACAGTTTAAAAATGAGTCCCCAAACTACCATCTTAAAATATGGTTTGGCATTCGATTGATCAGCCGCAGTACCATTCTCAACAGCAGCAATTCTATCATGCCTTGGAAGTTTCAATGAAGACAAGCATATCAGACTCCCCTTGCAAGTTTGTTTCAGTGATAGTGATTAGCAAGAGCAGAAATTCAGGACTATAGTAGTCCAAAATATTCTTTGCCTTCAAAATTAATTCTCTATTCCCTTGCACTCAGAGCAAGTACAGTAGAAATAAACAAATTTCTGCCAAAACCAAAGAATATCTTTTGAATGTGAAGCAATCTAAATCAAGCTGCTTTTTTATTGCGAGCTGAAAAAGTGACTTATTCTTGAAGGAAACAAACAGTGACTTTTTGCACTGAAGCTGGAGACTGATTCAGCCTTAAGTTTCAGCATTGTTTTGTTTTTGAGGTCGTCGGGCTCACTAATGCAAAATGCCAACATGAAGCCTGTTTCCCAGACATGGAATTGTAGCTTACCACAAAAAGTACTGACAGCCCTAAGTCATTTCTGGCAAGGTAAGTGGGCAAATCTGTGAAAGCGAGCCGAGACAACACAAACTCTTCCAAATGTGGTTAATAAAGCTTTGCTTTTGAAGAATTCAAAATGCAGGCACAGGAAATACTGTTCAGTTTTCATGGCATTTCCCACCGTCTCCTAACTGGAGCAGATTAAGCTCAAGTTGAATAGGCAAAGGATGAGAAGCCTTGGATAATGACTGAAGCACCACTCTGCCAAGAGCCACAGCAAGCTTTATGACTTGCTGCCATAGGTGGAGGGTATGGCTGGAGCTTTGCAATCCACCAAGTATCAGAAACTTCTAAACATGTAATAGAGCACATTCTGGGTTATGTTATACTGTAGCTGGCTCAACAAATACAGCGTTAGCTTGTCAGTTTAACAGCATGCCTTCTTAGTGAGGAAATCTACATTCAAAGCTCTTCAGAGCAAACAAATGGGCAAGGCATGCCTTGGGCTGGGAAAGATGTCTGACAGGCAGAACAAATACACTTCTCCAGAAGTATGACTGTATTTAAAAAAGGAATGGGAAAAATCTTGTGAACAGACTTCTACAGTTAATAAGAGTTAAAACTAACAAGAAAGACATGTTCATAACAAACTTATTCTAAGAAAGTTGAAAGATCCAACATTAAGTAAGCGAGTTTTCAGAAGGAAGGGAAACCTTCATGTTTAGAGATCCAAGTTTAGACTCTGGCTAAATAGATACATAATATAAAACAGGCAAATACAGAACACTCCAGTCCTGTAACATCAGTTTGCAGAACTCCATCTTTACGGCACGACTTCTAAACCATGGAAGCCTTTCAGGAAACACATTGTTTGAGGTAAATATGTGTCAGAGTATGTCACAGTGCTCCTCAATATAAGAAATGAATGTGAGAATGGAGGGAAGAGGTGAAATCAAAAGGATGGGCACTTAAGGTTAAAAGCAGCAGAGGGACGCTGCTGGGAAAACTTTCTGAAACAATTTGTTCATCAAATTTGGGATATATATTTTTTTTAATTTGTTTTGTTCTAAGTAAAATTGAAATAAAACTTGTTATAAACATATATTAATGATATAAAAACATCCTCACAAAAGAAACACAACAAAAAAACCCTAACATTCAAGTGCAAATCCTCCTCACAAAAACAAGTATGCAAAATTACAATAGAAATGAACCAAAAAACCAATTTGTTGCTTGTGCAAAAACAGAAAAGAGCATGCAAATGTTTTGCTTCCTAGGGCTCCCAAATTTCTGATCTTGACTGAATTGAACTGATTCAGCTAGCTTGGAGCATTGTTCCTTTCAGTTCTGATGCCTAAACAAATGATTACTTTCAGAAAAAATGCACACATTTTAAATAGGGGATGGTGTATTTGCATTGAAGAAAGCTACACCCACCACAACTCAGCATTAACTTTCATTACTAAAAACACCTGAAATAACCACTACGTGACTCCTAATAACATCACAATATAATATAAACAGTGCACAAAAAGCAATTGTGAGAAAACTTCAGTTGTGCACACCAGTTTGTTACATGAGGCAAGCCAGTAATAACCTCTGATTGAGTTCTCAGCTGTGCGTACTATAAAATTACACATGCAATAGAAAACCCTGAGTTTACTCTTAGCTATCTTTACCTAAGCTCTTTGATTAGACTAAGACTGAGAAACTTCCTATTTTCTATCATTCCAGAAGTGACAGGAAGTAACTTCACCTATATGTTGTTCTTCATTAATATTGTCACTAGATTTAAGTTAAAAGTTCTAGAATATTACTAGAAGAGATACTATTTTAACATACAGTTAATGTACTTCCAGCCCCTGAACCTCTTGAGGAATCCTGCAAGGGAAAACCACCTTCACAAAACAGCAAGCTGTCACCCTGCAGGTAGGACACGAGAACATTAGCTGGAAGGTAGCCCTCTGCTGCAAAAGCTGTGAGAGTTTTTGTATGTAGTGGAAAGAGACCATCCGGGGATGCTCCTCAGCAACAGAGTTTAAAAATATTTAGCTCTCCTGGGTGTCGAGATGCTGGAACTGTGAAGAACTAAGGACTTCAAAACAGTAAAACGACAACCACAGCACTTCACTTGAAGGTATTTACCCCTCTTTCAGGCAAGGCTGTCACGCCGTAGGTTTTTCATCCAGGTGAATAAGTCACACCTCATAGTGCTGCTCCTTTGCACACGCAGGTCAATGAAATCAAATGTTATAATGCTCCCTAATTCCTTCTCTCTTTTCTGTGAGCACAGGACTGCCCTCCTGCCAGAACACCTGCAACTTAAGAAGGTCTAGCTGTAGTTAACACCACTGCATCAAGCTCCTCTCTGCGCCCTACACAGCAATTCACATTTGATGATGCAGACTACAATTTCCCTTTTTCCAGCCTTTTGCAAGCATCAGCTCCACCTGCCAGGCTGCTTGCTTCCTGCAGGCTCTCCAGTCGTGTACCTAGTCCTGCAAGGACACTGCACATCCCAGAGCTCCTGGACACAACCCCTCATTGTGAAAAAGAAAAAACAAGTTTCTGTCTGAAATGAAAAAAAATAGCCTGCATTCTGGTTATTGAAGGACACTGCGATAATCTGATTTTCCTTGAAGCCATGTTGGTTCAAGCAGCACTTCATAAATTGTTTCTTAATCTGAATTTTTAGAAGGAAATATATCTAAGCCTTCCAACTTGGCTTAGCACTGCCTCTATGGGCTGCCAGAACACTTTTCCTCCCTGAAAAAAATAGCTAAGCTTCTGTTAAACACTGCATCAGTAGTAAAATAATTCTGCTGCCCAAAACGAACACAGGGGAATTAAAGTTCCCGTGCTGAAACTCTACTTGTGTTCTCACAAAGTCCACTCCAAAACTTTTATCAGTAATAATTCTTCTACACACCAAAATTTCTTCTTCTTGCCTTCATTGAAAACGTACTTGTTTAATATTCTCCTCTAAAGTGAGGCTAACAGGAACACATGCAAGCAGAAGTGCTTTTGTTTGGCTGTTTTTTTGAAATCAAATGCTCTCAGGGCCCAGCACTCTGCTTTATTCAGCCTGCTCTCAGATGCAGACACTCTGCCTCAGGCTCCCTGAGGCACTGACACCCAGTGCAGTAGATGGTGAACGTGGTGGAGCCCTGCACAACAGAGAAAAGATGGCCTACAGGGAACCTGGGGCCAGCCCAAGTTACTTCTGTTCTGTTCTAAACGTGGGGATTCAACAGATCCAAGATCTCTTTCACAACATGGTTTAAAATGAGCTTATTGGTAACTTACTTTCAAAGCAGTATTGCTTCCAACATTTATTTGACAAAGCACAATGCAAATCAAAATGAGAAATGCACATACGTGTTAATCCAAACCTACTTTGTAGCAGAAACTATGTCATGGAATAAAGAATCCTTCTCAGATAACTGGGTAGGAAAAGAAGCAATGGATTTATACAGCTGCGCTTCCCTTAATTCTACCTCAAATATTTACACCACGGTGGCGAAGTTGATGAATAAAATGGAAAAGCAAGTCAAAAAGTTAAAAACAGTCAAATAATTAAACAGTAGCTGCCTAAGGAATCAAAATTTACCGTAAAGCAAAAAAATAAATATTTCTTCAACCTGAGGTTTGCCAGCATCTTAATTTGGAGCTCGAGTTCCCAAAGCATTTTTCTTTTTTCCTTTAGTCCCACCATCCCCATCCCCCAAATTGTGCCTGTACACTTGAAACCACAGTTCTCCTTTAAAAAATGGACAGCATTCACTGTAGCCATGTCTACCCTGTAAACACATTGAATGGCTGCAACTACAGGGCCAGGCACCAGTGGGTAATGCTGGCACCAACTTGCCTTGTGGCTTTCAGCTGTTTAAGGAAGAAGTGAGCAGTGATCAGCCTAAACGTAGGTATTTGAACAGGGACAGACTTCCATCAGTTACACCAGCAGGCAGTCTGTAGGATCTTTAGCAGAGGACAAACATGTTCTGCTTCATACCCACTGAATGGCATTCTTTTTCTCCAGGCTTAAGAAACATACAGTCATTGAACACATCTTCCCAGAAGCTCTGCTTTTAAGGTATTCATACAGCAAGCTCCACATTTCCAACAGCAGCAGCCAGACCTTGAGATCTCACCCATTCCAGCTGCAGCATGGCCCTCTCCAAAATGGCCTTTAACCTTACTTTAGCCTGGAACATCTGGCTGTTGCCAGCTGTGTAACTGTAATATCACACCTTTGTTACAGTAATGCTACTGTTCAAACTAGAACCCTTGAAGGGATGTGGTGCTTTTGTTAGAAGGTTACCAAGGACCAAACAGAAGGCCATCACATAAACTTGCACACCAACTGTACTGAAGTGTAACATCAACTTGGCGACTGCCAAAGGGAAGAATGTGAAAATAAAATCACCAGAAACATCTTCAACTTGGTGAACAACTTTCTGAAAATACAGGATTAGGATCAATCCATCTTCTCCTCCACTTTGTCCCTTATTCACCCACTAACCAAATTAATCAAGCTTTAAAATACCAGTGATGTCCTAACGCAGTGGGACCTGAGAAGACATCTTGTGTCTTGTATTGGTATTGAAACTACAAGCACAAATTATTTCCACTGTTCCTGAACTTAACGTCATTCCGACTTTTGCTCTACCCCATTGCACACAGCTACCTGCTTTCATCAAAACACAACCCAACATCAAAGATACAGGATGGGACTTTCCAATGCTGACATTATCACTTAACTCTCATCTTTATGGCAATTCTACTTCTTAAGAGTCCAGACTCCCCGACAATTAGCTATCCAACTAGCTCTTCTGCAACAACTTGCTTTTATTGCTGTTTTATTGCTTTCAGCACCTTACCTTTTCTCTGTGCATGAAATACTTACTTCACAAATGATTTCCTCAGTTCACCACTTGAGAAAATATTATTTTAAAACAGTATTCTTTCTACAGCTGTTTACTGTGCAGCCTTCCCTAAATTACAGATGTCAGTAGTCTGCACTACATCTGTTTTACAAGAGGTACAAACTAGAAGCTTTCTCATACCTTGCAAAACCCATGAGTAACATATCTGTGTCCAGTCTGAGGGGTACATACCCATTATTATGATGGAAGCCTCACTAGCACAGTTTTGCACTATTATTGATAGTGCAATGATCATCCTCAACGTGGAAAACCCAATGAAGATTTTACACTTTTCCTTTAAGGTAAGATTGAAAACAGTAAGAATAAGGAAACAGCCACTAAAATAGAGACAAGTTTAAGGAGTCAAAGGTACTTTTCTGCCAAGGTATATAAGTTTTTGGCAAGCCAACCTATTTGCACAACCTTTATCAAGAATGATCAGCATTGAAACAAGCAATAGTTTAAGACCAGATGAACTTGCCCAAAGAACCAAATATCAGCTAGGAAGCACACCTGCATACAGAAATATTAATGAAAAAGAGATGAAATTAATTACAACCTAAAGGATCGTACACTGACCACTAGAAATTTTACTCAACTGTTAAAAATGCTTTGAGACACCTCAGATCCATTTACAACAAACAAAACCTGGAATGTACTATGTAGGTTGCTCTGAAATTAACGCCTCCTATTTATTTATTTCCATGAAAACTACAATAGAGCACAACAGCACTACTAGATAGAGCAAATTATCAGCTACAAAACAATGTTTTTCAGTGCAGTCTCCTCTATTAGCTATGCATCTCCAACAGTGATGATCAGGAGCCCGCATGCCGTGCACATCAAAACCTGCACCAGCAGACCTGAGAAAAGACCAAAATATCGCATTCTATAAACAAAAACTGCAGCTGCATGTTCACAATGCAACACCTTTAAACAAAAAAAAACAATCATACCTGCAAGTGGGACCCTACCCAGTTTGAAGCAGCATACATCACTCACTTGAATTAAAGAACCCAATGGCTCAGGCTCTGCAGGATATCCAACTGATATTTCTGTACCACTGCACTCAAAAGAAAAACGCACTATGGATGCAAGAATTAGCAAAGTTCAAGGAGTACAGAATAGTCCAGAAGTTACTTCACCTTCTTTGTATATAGAAGGTAAAATCCAATTACTCATCATTGACTACATAATAAATGCATTACAGACCCAAGTCTGAGAAGCACTGGAAGAGAGGTGATATTCATGTGTTATCTGTAATAAAAAGTTCTTGCAACATAAGTGCTACAAGAAGGCACTAAGTGGAACCTATGAAGTTCTGTGTTTACCCCCAGTAAGAATACCTACAAGTAACGAACACTCTCTGCTTTACTTACTTATTACTGAGCTTAAAAATTTCTATGCTGCTGAAGAGTTTAATCCAGAGAGCCTATAATCCTGAACCATAGCCACCAGGTGTCCAGCAGGGCTACCTCAAAAGCTATCTTGTTGGAGAAGAGTTGAAATGCAACAAGCTTGACTGCACATCACACAGGCTTTCTGTAATATAACTGAAATACCATCGAGGCAGCTCACATGCAAGTCAGTCATCAGTGCTTTTCTTGGGAAGTGTAAACAATTACTACAATTCCTTCAAAGGTGGGCAAAGATTATTAGCAGTTTTGACTATATCATTTCTTATTTTAATGTAGGACTGCTCTGTAACAACGAGTGAAAATGTCTAGTCTTGCTAAACATCATCACAAGCTGTTAGGAACTTCAGTTAGGATGTGTGTGCACCATTTGCCAGCATCTGCAACTGCCTGAGCAATAAAACTAGGAATCTGTAACTTCATTACCCTATTAGCATATATTAACAAACCATCAAAAGGTTTAAATAAAATGCCTCCAGAAAAAAAAAACAAAACAAGTTCAGATCAAGTATATCCTAGCAACAAAAATACGTGTCAGAATCAAGCTACATCATACAGAATTAAGTCTCTGATCCACACTGCATACAACAGTGTGAAAAAATGCCTGGAGAGCACAGCCCCAAAGGACTACACAGCATTAACCAGAATCTGGATCCTGTACTGCTCTTCATTGTCTACCTATGAAAGCAAAGGATGAAAGAAATTACTCACAAAATGTACAGGATCTCCTATAGGGAAGGGAAAGCTACCAAAAATATATATATATGTATATACATATATATACACACACTCTCACACACACACACACATATATATATTATATAAAAAACAAACACCACCCCACAAACGAACAAAAATTAAGTTGCTTACTGCATATTCTTCTGGTGTAACCTTCAGAACATCAAACACCACTGCATCAAAGCTCTTCTTCAGTTCAGCTGAACCTTTGTCACTCAGAGATTCAGAACTGCTGCTCTTCTGCAGGAACAAACAAAAACACTGATGATATTTTGGTTTCCTTCTTTCTACATTGCCATGAGCAAAATTTCTTTTCAAACACCACTGTTGCACTTTTTTCCTGTTGGGCAAATTAACAATTAAAAAAGCCACAGAACTTGCTTCCTCCTGACAAAAATCACTACAGTCAGAGACTCTCAAATTGGCTCCTGTGGACTTCAAAGGTGGTCCTCAACACACAAACCTTCTATTTCCACGTTTAGAATTCCAGTGTTTCACTGGGAGAATAGTTAATAAGAATCAAAATCTGAATTTCAAGCAAACAACAAATCACTGCAGGAGGAAAAAAGACAGCCCCAAAAGAATAGTTAACAAAGAACACTATCAGTCTCTTACAAGCTTTAAAATTTACAAAAATTGCACTGTGACCTACATGTCCACATTTAAGATGCTTATTATAAGCAATTATGCATTTTTTTAACAATTAAAATTTGAAAGACATAGAGATAGAGATGCAAATCTAGATTCTGTTCAATCATCACACTTTTTTCCCCACAGAGGATCAGATGCCACATCCAGATGTACACTTCTTGGACATTTATTTCAGAAACGTACACACATAGCAAGTCATCACTTTACTGCCCCATACTTTCCTGTGAAGACCTGAAGAGCTAAACATGCTTTTTCCTTTGTTTCTTCTCACTTTCAGAAAGCTGGTGTAAAGCAAACTCTTGATTAAAAAAGCAAGAAATGAGATGTGACATGGACAAAAACATCATGAGGGAGCACAGTTACCACAATGCTTCTTCAGCAATGCTTGCTGTAAGCACACTGTAACATGGGGCTGTTCAGTCTGGGGAAAAAGAGGCTGATGGGAGACCTGATTGCTCTTTTCCAAATCTGAAAGGTGCTTACAGCGAGAGCAGGGTTGGTCTCTTCACACTGGTGACAGAAGACAGGATGAAGGGAAATGGCCTCCAGTTGCTCCAGGGTAAGTTTAGGTTGGATATCAGGAAACACTTCTTTACACAAAGGGTTGTTAAGCACTGCAATCGGCTCCCCAGGGAGGATGTTGAGTCACCATCCCTGGATGTGTTTAAAAACCTCTGGATGGGGTTTAGCAGAGGGTTGTTAGAGTTAGGGTAGCATGGTTAGGTCTTGGTTGGACTCAATGATCTTTAAGGTCTTTTCCAACCTAAGTGATTCTGTATCTGCAAGTTTCAAGAACAGCAGAGCCTCAAGCTAAGTGCCATCAGAGCTCTCATGTCAGTTTTGCTTATGCATTGGAGGCTTCTAAGAGAGAGAAACCTAGCGCTGACACAAGGAGCACTCACAGTCTTGCTGGAACTTCCAACTCTGCAGTGGCAAAGCACACTGAACACAAACCAAAACCCACCTAGTTTTAACTTGAGCTCTCTTAACTACTCCTGGGAGGTTGACAAGACACTGACCCACGTATTGAAGGCACTTTCTAACAGACCTTGTAATTTTACTAATGTTGTATATTTCAGATCATGGATATTGGTCATATACAACAAATATCAATGAGTGGTTTTGCCTGTTGTGGAAGCCAAGCTTCACTGCACTATCAGTAACAACCTGTGCCATGTATACTGATGTTAGGGCAGGAGGGGAGATAGCACAGCATCACTGACGCAGGTAAACAGTTATGCTGCTCCCATCTCTTTTCCTCAGAACCTAATAAAGCAGGTCTTTATGGCTGTGCTACACATTTTGACTTCAGCTTCTCACTCCCAACAAAGAACATGTGAACTCTTTCACAACTCAGCAAACTGAAATTAATTCTTTCCCCCCTTTTAGCACTTCTGTTGCAAAGATAAATAATGAATACACACATAAATTTAACATTCTGGTTAGCTTCTTCTGACAGTGCCATCTCTCTGAAAAAACCTGACTTAGGAAACACCAAAAACTCAGACATGCATTTTCAGTAACAAAAGTACTGCACTTTCAGTAGCATGTCACTTCCAACATCTTCTTCCTCCACTTGGTTCTAGAAAAGAAAAACCAACCACAAAAACCCAACAAACAACTGGTTTAAGGCAAATTTATGTGACACTGGTAATTATTACCTTCTTAAGCACAAATCAATTGTACTCAGTTTCATCAGACATAACATAAACATACTGGATAACATGAAAGCTTCCCTCTAAGAACGGCTATCAGTTACATATCAAGAAATGGTCAAACAATACATAACAGCATTACAGTGCTTGTGAAGTTTCCGGATGTGATTTGATTCTCTTCCATCACACAACACTTGTCCTTTCACCTTGTTTGTGGTGCATATGTGTGTACAAAGAGCATGGAACACCTGTGGCCCTGCTATTAAAATGGATGAGTAAATGTATCTATAAAATAAACATGTTTTGTATGTATATGTTTAAAATAAAAATGTTTTAAGGTTCAGACATTTATTCAAGGAAGCAACTGTTGTCAGGACTTAGCAGCTCTTATCACTAGTGAGCTCAGTGTTCTTCAGCACTGTCTCTTCTAAATAAAGTGGAAAAAAAATGAAATCTACTGTTGTAAAAATGGGTTTTGTAATTTGACAAAAGCAACAATAAAATAAAATATGCATTGGCAATAAAGCAACTGTCCTCTCTAAGCAGAAAGCTCAGGTTCTTACTGTACATCTGTATGTGCCCATGTATGTATTCAGTCACTCAAGATAGAAACAGCACTTCTGGAAAGATCACTCAAATGGACTGAGGGCAGATCTTAATATCCTTTCAGCCCAAGGCACTTAGAAAAAAAAAAAAGCTTTCAGAAGGAGCGATCTGCAAGAAAACAGGTCTTGCAAGCCCTCCATCAGCACCAAGAATTTATGAAGCAGTCACAACTCTCAGCAGTTCTGGCAAAAAATCCTCCAAGTTCTGGTGCTGACTTCATTTTCCAGTCTCAATGAGTGGATGGTAAATGGAAAGCTAAGTGACTTCAAAGTGGGATAAATAAATGTCAGACTGCCCCTACACACACAGCTACCTATCAAAGGCAACAACATTTCCCACAGGCCTTGCCAACCTAGCTTCATGCATTAAGAGTATCTATTATTGTTAAAATTCTCATCTAAACATCAAAATCAACATCTAAACTAGGGTATATAAAACCAACACATCAAAAACTTCCCATGCCGGACCTGTTGAAATAAAAAATTACTTTTTGGCAAATATAAAAACAAAATTAGCATTTGTGATATTAATTATCCACAGAGTTTTATAATCCTTACCTCTGAAGCAGTAGCTGCAATATTAACACTGCTTGACTGTCCGTTCATTAGGTCCATACTGCCCACAACATTAATTTCCAGCCCTACATTTACAGCAGAAGGATCATCTCCAAGGCAACTGAATGATCATTCCTACAAAGAGCAAAAAGTCAGTTAGAAACTACTTTGCTCAAGCGTGTTAAACAAGACTCAGCATTGAAAAAAAATCCACCGCAAAACAAGTACTTCCAAAACGGCTACAGCACACGGAGGTCCAAACCTCAGACTCAAACACACATTCTAAGATGATCCACTCAATGTCTAAGGCAAACAGCTGAAGGTTCCATTGCAATCAGTTACTCACTGCCAGAACGGACTTCCGGTGCGATGCACAGCAGGTATCATTATGTAAATTTACCCTAACGAAAGTACACGACCTATGTTGCAGGCTGTTCTTTTCCTTTGACTACCAAAGTAAAGTACACTTAATCTATACTGTATATCTATTACTATATCTTATAGAAAAGATGCTTACTATACAATTTACTAGGAAATTAATGGATAATTTCCTATATACCTATTCACCGCCATCAATTGAAAATTATGCCATCAGAAGCAATTTCAGAGTACGAGTGGAATTTGCCTACTTCACCACATGTGACTCATATTATCATTTGGAAAAAACAAACAAACAAACAAAAAAACCTCCAAAAGACAGAAAAGAAAATTCCACACGCTGATTTTTGATGTATTCCTGCAAGGCTGCATTTGTGTTTAGCTTTCATTCCTACAGAGAAAAGGAAGCTACAGAAAGAGCAAGACTTGAGTAAGACTACCCAATATGTGAAACAGTAAAAACTGGCTTGGGCCTGTATTTCATGAGATGCTAGTGCCCCCTAGTGTGAAAAAGACTTATAAATCGGTTTTCATAGGTGTGCGTTCATAACAAACACGACTGCATCCAAATTTTTATGCATTATTTATGGAATCCACTTGAGGTTTGTAGTTTGATTCAGAACTGTTAGGCAGGTTGCAAACAAAAGGCGACGACAGGCAGGTGAATAATATCGAATGACAAAATCACTGCATCAAATATTTAAGACCTTTACAGCAATGGAACAAAGAAAATAATCTGAAAAGCTTGGTCTCCAAGTATGCTAAACAGGTATGCTGTGCTGACAAGGCTGGAAGGCAAGAAACTGCAGTATTTAAATAATAAAATAGCCTCGAAAAAGCAAAAACTTTAAAATGTCATTGTAGGACTGCAATACACAAAGGAGGTCAATTGAAACGGAGAACCACAGTGTGAATTGCAGCCAAACACTACAGCCGCCAGGTATTTCTGGGCAGTAACAGCCCTCAGCTGACCTGCAGCGTGCTGTGCTTCAGAACAGCCATTCACAAGCTGAGGTTTTGAGGTTTTGTTTAAGAAACATGGATGGGATTATTTTTCACAACACAGAAAACACCGCCCTCTGCTTTAACATTACATTCCCAGCCCATAGACTGCATTTAAGATTATGTTTCCTCCACTAAAAATAGCAGCTAAATGTATTATACTAACAGTCCACGCAAAAGGGAAAAAACCACCTCCTGTTTGGCTTGTAACTGGTTTTGTCACTGTCACCCTCCCGTCCCAACTGTCTCTCACATTGCCTCATATTTCCAACCACTCAGCTCCCGACCTCTTCTTTCCTACATACTCTTCACATGCTGTTGTCCCAACTTCATTTTATTCTCTGCTCAAAAACCAGCCCTTAAGAACACACATTTGTAATGACTAATTATAAGGAAAATTAAAACCGCACCATTTCATCATACTACAGAGCTTACCAAGTATCACATAAAGCCCATTCTCAACTAAGGACTACACGTTCGACTGCTATCTCATAGATACTCACTTCTTTTTCTTCAGTGAGGGTAAGGAGTAAAAATGAATTAGGGGAAGAGAAGAGCTTCTGGTAAGCAAAGTGAAAGCAAAGTTTTGTTTATTTGCTCCATGGAGGGAATTGGAGGGTGCTGTTTGTTTTCGTTATGGCACAGCATAATTGGTACTTTCAAAGAAATTACACTCATTAGAGAAGCCCGTGGAGTTGGCAGTACAACCTAATCTAATCCAATCCCACTGTTAGTAATAAGGTTGAAGCCCAGTTTGATGATTAATGCCACACAACCCATACACACTAAGATAAGCTCTAGCAGCCTTGCCTCCACCAGCCCCACGTTTCCTAGTGCAGTATCTCAAGCCTTATCCTTGCTTCCTTATCACAACACCTCCAGCTTCCTACCTGCATCCCAACTTATTACCAGATTTGTTTGCACCCTCCCATTCCAAGAGCTAGATGGAAAAGCACTCACTGCAGTGCTGAAGGAAGACAGCACAAGCTCATTCACTTACCAGCAGGATAAACAGAATAGGTAAACATGGAAACTAGGTGAGGGACTTTCCACTGTACAGCTAGAGCATAGAGATGGTGCACATTGACCTGAGATCTTTTGTAATAGTCAGTGTGTTGGAACTTGTAGGAACTGTGCTGATCAAGAATGACTGAAATCCGCTGCTAAAGTGAGAAGTGGCACCAGACAGGAAGGCAGAGAGCAGCCACATATGCTCCAGAAAAGTACATGTCTTTTTCTTTTCCTTTTTCAGTTGCCCATCTATCCCAGGTCAGACAGCATGGGCTACAATCTGTCCTGCAACCAGAAGAGGAGGCAGGAACTAAAGCATACCTAGTGCACAGACTGAGCACAGAGCTGCAGAAGCCAGCTGCCCACCTGCTGTCTTAAATCACAGCAGCCTCACCGAGTTACAGCCAGTGCTGGATTCAGTGCTTCATCTTGGCTTCTGCCACTAAAACAACAGCTCTTGTAAATTGTGCAATGAGAACTTAAAGATAGTCCCTCATTTAAAAGAAAAATGTATATATATCAGTAGATTTTATGTGAAAATCACTTAGAAAAAGTCTGTATTAAAAAGAAACTGAGCTAGCAAAATAAAACATTTGGCAACTAGGCTGCACTGTATGTAACAACACTGTCCATGCGATCTTAATTTCATACCCATTGCCACATTCTGATATTATCTTTGAATATATTTACACATACTTCTTCCCACTTCATTAATAAATAGCAAAAGGGCAGAAATAGCACTGAACTGCTATTAACTAGCATTTATTGACTTCAAAGTTCCAGAACTCACAGCATTAAAACTGTGCCTATGAAAGACAAATTTAATACGAAATCATACTCCTCCCAGAACAGTAACAGCTCATGGCAATAATTTTGGCTGGTGTCTCATTCAAGGCAAACAAAAAGAAATCCCAAACTTGAAGTAATTAAGCATTTTGCTTGCCATCCTACCCTTCTGCTTAACACTGCAGTAAGCAGTGAACAGCAATATCACAAAGTGATTCACAGTGTGAAACGATGTACCACACTGCAGCAGTGAATCACACATCAGTTTTCAGTGTGTACTCAGTATATCCAGTTACAAAGAAATGAATTACACTGAGTAATTTGAACTTCCAGCATTTGTTCTTTTCGGTTTAACAAATGCCTCTGTCCTCAGAAATGTATTAAGAACAGAACTGAAAGATTTATATGCAGTATGAAATACTCAGAGATGCTTTTAAGCCAGTCTAAAGCCTGGGCTATTAGATACCCCACACGGTATCTTCCCACCTATTCATGCCATGCATACCATATTTTAAAAAGCAACCCAAAAATACTGAAGATTTGTCATATCCAAAGAAGGGAAATGTCTTCACTAAGCAGGGATGCCATCTTCAGCGAGCCACAGTTATTCTGTAGACTCACTCAAGGCAGCATTTGAGGATCACTCCATCACAGGAAGGTGCCTAACAAGATGCCTAATCTCAAGTCCCTTCCAGTGTAGAATCCAGAGATACTCTTGTCAAAGCTTTGGTAAAATATTAGCTGTAAAACATACTGTCCAAACAACACTTTAAAAGCAAAATCTAACGTTACATTAAAAAATTGTCTGCTAAGCATCCAGAATGGTACAAACAGCTTTGAGGAAGCACATCCACATAGCAATTTAATGAATAACTCAAGAGTCAGGATGACCAACATTTTTGACCATATTATTCATAATAGAGGTACAAAATGTCAATGTTTTGTTCACAGATTCCCATGAAGGAAAAAAGAAATACCCTGCATGGCTTATGAACAACTACGAATGTGGAGCCACCACCAAGGACTTGAGGACCAAAGCACTGTAGAACCCAATGACCTGTTTAACATGAGATCAGGAGCTTAAGTTGATTGCATGGAAACTCTCAGTGGTATTTTTCATACTGTACAGAAAAAAGCTAGCTCTTCCTAAACAAGGAACAGAAAAATATTGGGCTTCGCTGTCTTCACTTCCCCATGTGCACAGTACAGCCCAGCTAGGCTTAGCTATTCCACACCATGCCCTCAACATGCTTTGATGAAATCTTGTGGCCACTCTGGATCTGAGCCCTTAGATTCTTAGTTATAATTGTGTTTTTTCCAGTATCACTTGACACTTCTTAAAGTAACATTCATTTTTACCACTGAACACAAAACACGCTTCAATGAAACAAACCCCAGTTCCTCAAGTTCTTCTTTCACACCCACCTCCTACGTGCAAAGTCAGATCTTTCTGCCTAGAAGTACTTTGTGGAACTGCTTCTGCATTTAGGATGTTTCACTGCCCTCTTCTCTTGAACGTGTAAACACAAAACAAGTCAATCTCGACTTCCTTCTCACCATGCATAGCTACAAGAGCATCTATTGCAACCACTCACTCTGCACACCAATTTCTACTTTACATGAAGAACACCTAAAAGTGCTCGTTTTTTTGGGTGTCAGGTTCCTGTTTGTTCTCCAATTCCCATTAAGCAATTCAAAACTAAAATCTGTCTGCTAAAAGGTCACAAACAGTACGACCTATGTAAATCCAACAACACTAAAAACATGCAAGAATTAAAATACTGCTTTTTTAATCCACTCTCCAGATACTTTTCCCTTGATCTTTATAACATTAAACATTTATGAAATACCTTTCAGTCTTATTAAGACAAACATGGGCTACAGTTCCCATAAGATCACCATAGAGACGTTGTGACTCACCCAGGTAACGAGCTGCATCTTGAACAGAAAGCAGCACAAAGAATCCTGCTGACTCAACCCAACTTAGTACGAATGCTGGGGCACCTCCTGCTACCCGCACCAAGGTGGCAGGTGGAGGTTCTGGATATCCTGCTACATGGCAGTGCTGCCTGCAAGCTGCTGCACAGCCAACTTCACTCTGCCTGCAAGTGGTTCAAATCAGCCTGGGGGCACGCAGGAGCCAAGGAAGTACAAAGTACACTGGCACGCAGGCGTGACGGTCACCACAGGATACCTGAACTGGCAGCAGCTGCCAGCAGGGTGAAGGCTGATCACACTGCTTTTCCTTTCAATTTGGTGCACGCGCTCCTCAGCACGCCTAGAAGACCTGCGTATGTAAGGATCACAGTTAGTGAAGGAACACTTTATCTAACAGCAAAGAAATATCCCTTATTTGCTAGGCTGTATGTTGTCTGCCTTGTAACAGGAAAGAGTCTGAAAGCAGCAAAAACACTGCGCTGTGATACTGAGTCATAGAATCACGGACTGGCCTAGACTGAAAGTCCCTTAAACATGTTTTAACTCCATTTACAGCAAGCATGATACTAATAAGAGGTAGTAAAACGCATGAAAGCTGGTAAGGAGAAACATTCACAGTAGAGGTGAAATAAAAGCTCAAGCAACTTAGTATAAACCCACACTCCTGCAAGAAACTTGCACTGAAATGCTCAAATCCCAGACCTAAAACTTCACATACTAAAAAGTCTCCAGTCAGACATGAATCTTGGCAAAGCGTTTGATAAGCTGACACAGCTGGCAAGGACTAAGATAAGAGACCCCAGTAGAAGACAGGCAAGTGGATAACAGCATGACAAAATCTGAGAGACAGAGCATAATTTTGAAGATAATATTACACAAGGAAGAGATTACTAACAGTTATTAAATACCCAACACCAGCACAAGCATCAGTAGAACGATACAACATTGGGAAATAGAGGAAAGCAGAGTAACATAAGCAGGAATAAAGCCATCTGGTGGACAAGAAAATGAAAAATGAAATTCAATCATTACAGGATAATCCCTGTAAAATTTTTGCTCAGTCTCAACATATCATTTGGAAATGACTAATGCCTGCATTAGTTCAGTCAAACACTACTGCCACTATATTTCATGAGACTGACTGCTGTACTCTGTGTAGCTCTGGTCACTCACCTTCTAAAAGATTTGAACCCAAACATGTGATGCAGGGAAGGGGTTCCACGTTGATGGAAGATTCCATTAGAGATGAGGAAACGGAAGCCTCAGCTTGCTTATGCTAACAAAACTGAGCCCAGCGAGAGGATACACTTGCTACGTGTAAATTGCAGGAGGATAAAACAGAAGAGCATGAATAAAATGTAAATTTATGCTTAAAGTCAGAATAAAACAAGTTCTTGAAAAGTGTTTGGAAAACAGTATCAGAAGAGGAAAAAAAAACCCCATAGCTGTTTCAGTTGATACCAGACTCTTTCCTGAAAGAAAGCATGAGATACAGCAACTGCAAGAGCAGTACAGCTAAACCAGTAACAGACTCCTTTCTTCAGTGGCTCAGCTGGGCCTACTGCACTCTCAAAGCACCCCTGCCCTCCTCAAATAACTCAGCTGCTCCACAGTATGTCACACATGCACTCTTTCCCTAAGCAGCTGCTGCACAACAGTCAGTATCAGCTGTTCAAGCTCCATCAGAGACGAAATAAAGAATGAATAGGAAAAAAAAACCCATGTTTTTATTAGGTTTTACATTTAGAATTAAGTCTTTAAAGTATAAAACAATGCTTTATTCAAATATGGTCTTTAACTTAGATCCCCCTCTCTCTCTCCCTACGAAGGGTTTTAGCCTTTGGACAAACAAGTGAATTTCTCCTTTTTTAAGCAAACACTATCTACAGAGTCTACCATGCATGCATTCACATTCTGGACAACACAATCATCACTTAGATCTAGAAAAAAAAAGGTAGAAGTAAAATTAAGGCAATTCACATTAAAGCGCCATCTCATATCTTACTCAATTTACAACTACCAAGATTACTCCTTCATGGTGCTCCAGTAGTCAATGCTCTTCTCTTTTATACACAAATAGGAGATTCTTACTGTTCTAACCTCTGTCATTCAAATCTGCCCACACCCAGCAGAGATGAACTGACTCATAGCCATGAAGCTACAGCTTAGGGCTTCCAGCACATGGAAGATACCAGAGCAAAAGGCAACGCGTTCTTGCACTAGCATTGGCACAGCTGCCAGCAGCAGCAGATCCTGGTGCTCCCACAATGCAGCAGTGAACTGAGAAGAAGGAAAGAATCATCACAAGTGACAAGTAGGCCAAAATCCTGACCGTGTGTTTCATGTGCTATTTAAGCTCAGCCTGAAGTTGTAAGAGATTTGCTTTCTTTCAACAAAAATGTAGAGATACAGAATTTTAAGGCAAAACAAGTTCACTGCGCAAGAACTTAAGAAGTTTATGCTCCAAAATTATCAGGTTCCTCAACTCTGTTTTTTCAGAGACCTCTATTCCATTCTGTAGGTCTTCAGGAAGGACACTGCATAAAGGAGTGTTTCATTCCTTTGGACTTGGCTGTTATTTTATAGCTGCTGTCAGAACAGCCTAACATCTAAAGTTACAAGGCAGTTTGTTTTCCTCACGTAATCCAAGAGGGAAAGAATTAGGGAACCAACAAACATAAGCACAGAAAGCACAACAAATACATTAAGGTCTCACCTTCTTCCACCTCCCCCTCCAGAATGCAAGCCTATTGATAGCCTGTTTCAGAAACACTTCTTCAAACATCTGAAGAAGCGATTCAGGCTCGCTCATTCAGGAACAGGAGGACAATCCCCAAACAAACAAAACAGGAGAAATTGTATCCTGAAGACATTTTTTGAAAGATAGGAGCTATTGGCATTTCTTTGCCTGAATAAAAGGTACAGAGAAAAGAAGTGGGAACAATTTCAACTAGAGTCAGATACTCTCATGAATTACACAGTTCTGCAAGACTACAAGAAAACCTTTCCACAATCTGCTTTTCCAGGCCTCCCACCACAGGGCCTTAAAACAACCTGTTCTGTTTGCAAACAAGTAGAACAGTAAAAGACTGACGATGTGCTGTGCTGATTAACTGGTGTTCAGTTTGCAAAATATTTTTGTTACGCATTAGATATGCAGTCATACATTAGTGCAACCAACACCAGAAGGATACATCCATAGACAACGCACTCTGAACAGAAACATCACACTAAAAAACTTGTACCAACAGTGCACTGAATGCCCTTAGCATGAATTTCAGGAACTGTCAGCAGCATCACTACAACTCACGCACCAAAAGCACATGAAGTGATGAAAGCTGAGACTAAGGAGCTAGGCATGGAGTATTATATAAAGCTACATATCACATGGGCATGCCACGAAAACTCGCTTTTCCATGCAGCTCTTTGAATAAGCTTCTCTAAAATAGTGTGTGCTGCAGGCAAAACTGGCAACAGCCACACAAACACAACCCAACCACCCCAGGGCCAGGCTTTTAGCAAGGTGGAGACAACAAAGCACTCAACTGCTGTTGAGTACAAGTTTACAAGCCTGCAAAATTCAAGTCCTGGGATACACATCTGCCTCGTTGACACATTATTTGTACGATGGGACAAAAAGAGAGGCTTCACATTTATAGGAAAGAAGACAAAACTACTCTGACTATCTTACACTATAACTGATGAGGAAGAAAATACTGCTGAGGGAATATTTCACTGTAATTTATGTCAAGCTGTTAATAGACAAAGAGGATCATACTTAGACAGGAAATCCAGCATCGCAGCCTGCTTCAGAATTCAGCTTTCAGAGAGATGAGCGAAGTTCATCTTACCAGCAACACTTGGGATGACGTTTCAACAGTTTTCTCTATAACTCCCTTTTAACATCACGCACCTATGTGGAAATTTGTACAGCTGCTATAGAACTGGTGCTAACAGGAAACAATCCGACAACTTCTCAATTGCCCCATTGGTATGATGAACATTATGTGGAAATAAAACAGACATTTGGGGAAGGGAGCTGAATTTTCTGTGCCAGTGAGCTCTGCCTGTGTCAGAATGTATTTGCTTATGGAAGTTTGTCAGCTTTTTCCAACTTCTATAAGCCAACAATACACAGATAGTCGCTTACCTATCCAAGCAGAAATCTCTTCTGCACTCATCACTCCCCTTGGAAGAACCTCAGTAAGCCAAGCAACTGATAAGCAAGCATATAAAAACCTCAAACACCAACCACTAATATTGAATGCTTTTCCTCACCTCAGAGCAGCCAGTAACTACTGAGTACCAAAGCATCTGCCTGAGAAAAGTAAAACATGATACAGAAACTGAGCAAATCCAAGTTAATGCACGCACATATGTAGGACTTCAATAAATCAAACAGATGATACTGACTGATACTGGAAATCAAGCACATGTTCATTTCTACTCTTGTGATTTAGAGCAAACACTTTCATGAAGGATAACATATTATTGTACATTATCAGATCTGGTCATCAAAACAAATTTATACTAGACAGAAGGAAAACCTCATCTCCTTGGATACTCAAGGCAGATAGGAATTTCTTTGGAAACACGAAGTTCTGGTATAACCACCTCATTTCTTGTGCACTAACAACAGCTGAAGCACCAGAAAAAAACAAAAAAAAAAAAACAAAACAAAACAAAACAAAACAAAAAAACCTAAAAGCAACTTAAGGTAAACGGAAAGTACAAATGAGAGCCCTGCTGGAGCTATTTCTGAGCCATCTATCTACATTATTGATGAAAGGATTTGCTCTAAAGAAGAAATGACATCATAAATATCTACATAGTTTGTAGAACTTGTATAATTGATGTAGAATGCAATGTTTTCCAGAAAGCATCAAAAAGGCATTGAGATATAAAACATTTGAAAAGCAAAGCTGGCAAAGTGCAGGAAGCAACTAAGCAGAAATACCTGCACACCTCTAACAGTAACGAAGGCAAACCTCAAAATCCTGGCTGCAAAACAGAGGGAAAAATACTGCAGCAGAAAGATAAATAATAGTTATTTACAGCATGTGAGACAACTTTAAATTAAGTAAGGACCATGGAAATCAAGTAATATCCTAAAGCACTTCCTATAGAGGTAGAAGCGTGTTATTTTATGAGCCATGCT